TTGCATTCCTTTTTGGCCAGCGGTAGTTGGAGTCTTCAGGAAGAGGAATGGCTCTGGTGCCCACAGCTAGTAGAAGGCACCTCGTAAGCTCTTGTTTGGCAGAGGCTCTTGCTTGATAAGAGTTTCTACTGACATATCTACTAAGGATTCTACTAAGGCTTATATTAGGAGGTTACAAGTGGGGGTTTCAACTGGAGATTCCGGGTTGATGGTCTGAGTCTGACCCTCCTCCGGATTTCTAGTTGGGATTAACACCTGGAGGTTTCTGCTGTGATCTCTTAAATGGACTAGTAATTATGAATGGTTTCAACAGGCATTCTTTCTCCACTAAACAGTTGTTTCCATTTTCGAGTCACCTTGAGGTGTTTTCGGGGCTTAGCGTCCCCGCGGCCCGGTCCTCGACCAGGCTTCCTCGTTGCTGGACTGGTCAACCAGGCTGTTGGACGCGGCTGCTCGCAGCCTGACGTATGAGTCACAGCGTGGTTGATTAGGTATCCTTTGGGTATGCTTACCAAGGTCTCTCTTAAACACTGTGAGGGGTCGGCCAGTTATGCCCCTTATGTGTAGTGGAAGAGTGTTGAATAGTCTCGGGCCTCTGATGTTGATAGAGTTCTCTCTCAGAGTACCTGTTCCACCTCTGCTCTTCAACGGGGATATTCTGCACATCCTGCCATGCCTTCTGGTCTCATGTGGTGTTATTTCTATGTGCTGGTTGGGGACCAGCCCCTCTACTATTTTCCACGTGTAAATTATTATGTATCTCTCCCGCCTGCGCTCAAGAGAATACAGATTTACGCTCTTTAATCGGCCCCAGTAGTTTAGATGTTTTACTGAGTGGATTCTAGTAGTAAAGGATCTCTGCACCTCTCTCAGAAGATTCAGAGAATCTCTGAATGCGAGTGCATTCAATTGTTTTCTTATTGGATTTCATCCGATATTTTAAACTCTTAAATTGGTTGAATTAGTTGAGGATGACATTTTATTTTAACAAATCCTTCAAGGTATTTTTTTATTTATTTTTTTTATTGTGTGTGTTACTATTTGACCCTTACCAAACCAAGAGCTTTCAGACATTCGGGGATTAAACTCAGTTTGAAGCAAAAATCTGGTTATGAACATGTTAATAAATCAACTTTTATATTAATTTAAAGCACTGGGTCACTCAAGCAATCAGGGCATAGAATTTTGGGTTGGTGTATATGGGCGGTTTAAACCCGAGGACTCTCCTTGAGATATGATACAAAGAGCATATTCATGTAATGTTCACTCAGATTATATTAGTGTTTGTGTGCATAAGGGCATACCTGGGTCATACCTGGAGTGGGTTCAGCGAGTCCCACTACTCCCAAACCCGATCTGGGGCCAGGCTTGAGATTAGGGGGGATTTTATTTGTGCGATTGGGCTTATACTAATGTTTTTTTTATATGGACGTAGGGCATAAACTACTTATTTTATGTGTGCTTAGGGCATAAACTAGAGGATTTTATGTGTGCTTAGGGCATAAACTAGAGGATTTTATGTGTGCTTAGGGCATAAACTAGAGGCTTTTATGTGTGCTTAGGGCATAAACTAGAGGATTGTATATGTGCTTAGGGCATAAACTAGAGGATTGTGTGTGGGCTTAGGGTATAAGCTAGAGGATTTTATGTGTGCTTAGGGCATAAACTAGAGGATTTTATGTGGGCTTAGGGCATAAACTAGAGGATTTCATGTGTGTTTAAACCGTAAACTAGAGGATTTTATGTGTGTTTAAACCATAAACTAGAGGATTTTATGTGTGCTTAGGGCATAAACTAGAGGATTTTATGTGGGCTTAGGGCATAAACTAGAGGATTTTATGTGGGCTTAGGACATAAACTAAGGGGTTTTATGTATTCGCTGAGGTATGAACTAGAGAGAGATTTGTAGATAAATCATTAAGAGGGAATACTCGGAGCCCCCCCCCCCCCCCCCACACTCCTCAAAAAAGCAAGACAAGATAAATATATTTTTCCCGTTATTGGAGTTTCTATTTTTCAACAAAAGAAATATTTTGTTATATTTAATTAAATTAAATAAGTTATACCAGCAAAACATTATTTATATACTTTTTCTTCAAATAATAAAATATATTAAAAAAATCTTTCGAGTAATGAAACCTTCTTCACCATTAGGACTAAAAATCAGAGACAAAATTTTCAGACAAAATTACTGAGCAACTTTTTGAGACAAAAGACGCCAGGTAGGGAGGGTTGTGGGGGAAGGGAGGGGAAGGGGGTAGTGGATTAGGGAAGGGGAAGAGAATCAGGGGTAGCGTGGGAAAGGGAGCGTGTAAGGGGCAGGGATGAGGGGGGGGGGTGTGTGGGGCAAGCGGGACCACTTCCCATCAGTAGAGATAATAACGTGGACGTGGACAGTGACCAATTTCTGTGAAGGGGGGGGGGGAGGAGGAGAAGGGGAGGGAGGGGGGAGGATGATGGATTGTCCCCCCTGGTCCCGCCTTCCATGACCTTAGCCCAGACTTTGCAACATTTTCAGTTTCCAAGATATCTATCTATCTATCTGTGTGTGTGTGTGTGTGCGTGTGTTTATGTGTCGGTGTGTGGGGGGGGTTACGACCTCTGGTTGTGTTTGTAAGGGGGGGGGCCCACTCAGTCCCTAAGCCTCGAAGAAGAGGCTATGCAGCATCCAATGTGAGAACATTTGTTTCGCATCGTCTGTGATGCTGTTATCGTGGTAGAAAGCTGATGGAGATGTGATCAGCAAGATTCTCTTCGCATAGTAGGTATTGACGCATAGATGTGAAGCTCACCCCTCTTATGATGTATATTTTGTCAACTGGCTATTGACAAAGTAACAACTCTGCTATCATCGCTATCAACTCTGCAACATCTTCCAGGAGGATGAATGACAAACCTGTAGGCTTGTAGTTCAACCAAGACGTTGTTACTTCAGTAGCTTGCACGGGTTGCATGCCAGAGTTGCAGCTTTAGCTGTAGTTCAACCAAGACGTTCTTACTTCAGTAGCTTGCACGGGTTGCATGCCAGAGTTGCAGGTTTAGCTGTAGTTCAACGAAGACGTTCTTACTTCAGTAGCTTGCACGGGTTGCATGCCAGGGTTGCAAGTTTAGCTGTAGTTCAACGAAGACGTTCTTACTTCAGTAGCTTGCACGGGTTGCATGCCAGGGTTGCAAGTTTAGCTGTAGTTCAACGAAGACGTTCTTACTTCAGTAGCTTGCACGGGTTGCATGCCAGGGTTGCAAGTTTAGCTGTAGTTCAACGAAGACGTTCTTACTTCAGTAGCTTGCACGGGTTGCATGCCAGGGTTGCAAGTTTAGCTGTAGTTCAACGAAGACGTTCTTACTTCAGTAGCTTGCACGGGTTGCATGCCAGGGTTGCAAGTTTAGCTGTAGTTCAACGAAGACGTTCTTACTTCAGTAGCTTGCACGGGTTGCATGCCAGGGTTGCAAGTTTAGCTGTAGTTCAACGAAGCTGGCGTTTCTAAATATTGTGTGGGAACCGACCTGTGAGATTTATATTTATTTAATTTATATGAATTTATATTTACGTTAATTTATATACTTCGATAGCAATTTGTATAATGATAAGTGGACTGTATTTCTGCAATAATCTCATAATCTCACAAATCGATCCTCTACACATTAGGGGGGGTTATTAAATTAATATATATGCAGCCAATCAAACTACAGTATTAACTACATACATTGAAAAGGTTCCTTATCTTATAGTACAGCAGGTTAGTCCACCAGGTATAACTAGGGTGTAGACACCAAATTATCCTCTTTGAGGTAGCTTCCATCACCCAGTAACTGGTGCACAAAATCTTGGTTCCTCGTCTTGACCTGTCAAAACTGCGCTAGCTGTGAAGCCAGAATCCTATATATGACAAGCTATATCAGAGAAAACACTATGCAGTACATGGAACAATAAAGACCTGGCTTAATTACCTTTAGTATGAGGCGATTTCGCGTTCTAACCGGCTAACCCTACCCAATGACATAATGGACACTAATGATAGATAATGGGTTTCGGAAAGAACACTTAACTTGAATTTGTAGACAGCGTGTTGATAATGGTACTCCTTTAGTTTCCATAACACTACGTCCAAGTAAATTTAACAGGAGCCGAATTTGCTCCCGTGTGAGCCTCTGGTCTAGTACCAACAAAGGCTGCCCTCCTTCCTCCCTCTGACGCCTGGCTTACATTGTCCACATGTCAGAAAGTGATAGAAGGGTCACATTTACTCTACTTTAATATTGATAATTAAGTTAATTTATATAAGATGTTTTTATGATGGTAAAGTCCAAAGACTAATGTATTTAAGAATAATTCCCACCATAATAGGTAGAGAATATAATAGTATGTGGTGATGATATCCCGTTTTCTATAGACGGTAATTCCACTACAAGTTACGTTTTCTATGGGTAACTTGTTTATACAACACAGCTATTATCTGTATGATTATTAAATGGTGTCGGATTTTCCGACATATTGGAATATTTTATTTAAAGTGGAAAGTGCTTTTTTGTTCTGTGTTGTTTGGTGCTAAATGACATTACTTGACTTCGAGTTTACAATAATTTTATATATATTTTTACTCCAAATTTGCAATGTTCTATGAGTGAATACACTTTGTTAAACTAAGATTGATTAAGTTAGATTAAGTCAGGTAAGGTTAGTTAAGGTTATGTCAGAGAAACGTTACGATATATTTTGTTTGGTTAGCTGTAAACTTGTCAAAATACATGATGGGCGGGCGTCTCCTGAGTGGATACTGTAATCTGACTAAATATGTTGCCATGGGCATGTAATTTGCCATATATATATTACAGTGGCTCGCGGCTGCCTTTTATTTGTTGACAATTTTCTCTGGTTATTGCATGCTTCTGACGTTACTTTGTCAGTACATTTATCATTCTAAGTATTTTTGCAATATTTAACCAAATTCCAGATTACAGATTTTTGCAGTGATTAATCTTGTTTCCTATTTTCTTTTCAG